CGTTAAAGTGCACCTACACCCAAAAAATTTTTTTCGCTTAACGAAGTAAGCTTATTTTTTTGAGTATTTCTGCGCAAAAATTTTTTTATTTGCTCAAATCTTCAATTTTCTATGCCCAGTCAAAATACGGAAAATCGGCCGCCATCTTGCCCCACGACCGAGTTTAAAGAGGAATGGCTCTAGTGGGTAATGTGACGTCAAATCGAGAACACGAAAGTCTGCATCTCACACATTTTCACTTGTTTGGGAAGATTGTCGTCGATATTGTCCGAAATATGCCGACTAGGTGTGTTGTATGAAGAATGTATGAAGCGCGATACCCTCTTGCAAATTTCGCACGTTGCTACATCCTTCTACAACACACTTAGTCGGCATATTTTCGGACAATTATCGACTACAACCTTCCCAAACAAGTGAAAATGTGTGAAATGCAGACTTTCGTGTTCTCGATTTGACGTCACATTACCCACTAGAGCCATTCCTCTTTAAACTCGGTCGTGGGGCAAGATGGCGGCCGATTTTCCGTATTTTGACTGGGCATAGAAAATTGAAGATTTGAGCAAATAAAAAAATTTTTGCGCAGAAATACTCAAAAAAATAAGCTTACTTCGTTAAGCGAAAAAAATTTTTTGGGTGTAGGTGCACTTTAACGGCTGTGTAGGATAGAGTTGTCAACCAGGTCCCAAATCCCAAAACTTGACGTCTAAATAAAGGTTATTTACGGCCATCGGCCGATGGCGACTTATAGTGCTCAGAATATGCTAAAATTCGCCTTTTCAAATATATTGAGAGGGCAAATTCTAACTTTCTTGGCAAACTGGAAAGGTTCTTAAGCAATCTGATATAAATTCGGTGGCTTAACTATGCGAATGAAATATTTTACAATGTTACAAAATATGCCAATTTCTCAATTTTCGAGGCGTTACGACGGTCCCTACGGACTGGGAAATAATTATGGCCCCTAACGCAGTCAGAAAATTATTTCGAATCAAACCAAATCTAATTTAGTCCTTTCCTAAGTAAAGTCTTTCTGTAGACAGCGTTTCAGGCAAAATTAAAGACCCTGAGTGTTAGTCCGGCCGGGGCTCGAACCCTCGACCTCCCGCACAACAGTCCAGCGCTCTATCCATTGAGCTAACCGGGAGGCGGTTTTTTAACCGCCGCGTGATACGACAGTGAAAATTTGCGGTGGGACTTGAGTGAGTGTCAATGCATCAATAGAACGTTTTCCGATCGAGTGTTTCAAACCAAACTAAAGTATCACAACGGCCAAACAAAAGTAACGAAATGCCTTCAAGGGGCGACGAGAACTCAAAGTAAAGCCGACTAAGCTGCCAAAAGCGCGCGAAAACGCGGGCGACGACGACGTGATAGGTTTAAGTTTTGCATGCGATTCGTATAGGGAGTGGCGTAAGGTTTCAGGAGAAATCATAAAACGAAATAAAGTAAAAACAAAGCAATCCCGTACTTTTGACACTCACTAAAAAATTTCCTTTTAAGAAAATCATGGTTATGTACCCTAACGTAGATGGTAAGTTATTCTTCCGGTTGATAAACCACCTACAAACAACCAAAACATCATACTAATTTAAAATAATTCTTCTCTTAACATGTGTTAATGGCCTTGAATCGGAGGGGATAAACTAACAAGGTCGTGGACAGCAGTCTTAGAACGATTTGCTCGAGAAGAAACTCGTTGTGCCAGTGAACAAACCGTACATCTTAGTAAAAGAATTCACGAGAGTAACGAAGCTTCCTACTTTGGTGAAAAAGGACTTGGTTTGTCAAGAACACTCGGAAATCTTACCTCCATCTTGCCCTTTCATCGATGTTTTAGGATAAATTCGTGGATAACGCTGTGAAATGTTCATCAGTTTTTAAGAGGCTGTCTCTCTTATTTCCACCCGGTCAATTTCGCGTCAAAAATAATTTTTCCTGAAACGCTGTCTACAGAAAGACTTTACTTAGGAAAGAACTAAATTAGATTTGGTTTGATTCGAAATAAGTTTCTGACTGCGTTAGGGGCCATAATTATTCTGTGGACACAATCGACATGGAACCGAGAGAAGCAAGCTCAGGATATTTGAAATTAATTTATTAATTATATCATATCAAACTTCAGGTAAAAGCATTTATTCTTTTCAGCCACAATTTTCTCCCCAAATATTACATTGGGGTGTAAATTGGGATAGAACAAAACCATGCGACACAAGCTATCAGCGGTCTTCTCTTTTGTGCGGACCTTTGTGAGAACAGTATAACATCGAACGGATCGTCGTAATCTAAATTTAGGCGATTATTTCTTCACTTCAGAAGCCTGAAACCTTCATTTCCCCCTCAGCTTTTAGATATGGAGATTTCATATCCTGATTCTGGAAAAATTCAGCTCGGAAGCGATATTAAATGGGTGATTAACCGCGAAATGTGGCCATAATTCCAACCATTTGTTTTGATGCCACGAATCCCGATGAATGCCGCCTACTTTTCGAAGGCAATACCTAGCTATTTGTTGAGGTTGTCATGGATTTCAGTAATATGGTTATTTGAAAAATACTGAAGTTAACCATGAAGCCGGGCTGCAAAGCGGGTAAGCTGTATATATGACAAAATCTGCTCCAGTGGTTTGATTTTAGTGTAGGTGAAAAAATCGCGAATGCCCGTACAGGTGCTGATTCAAACGGTCCTAACTTTTGAAAAATCGAAAACGTACGAGGGTTTTTGCATGCCTTTGCCTATAAAGGTCTAAACTTAAAGTGCACCTAAACCCAAAATTTTTTTTCGCTTAACGAAATAAGCTAATTTTTTGGAGTATTTCTGTGCAAAAATTTTTTAATTTGCTCAAATCTTTAATTTTCTATGCCCAGTCAAAATACGGAAAATCGGCCGCCATCTTGCCCCACGACCGAGTTTAAAGAAGAATGGCTCTAGCCGGTAATGTGACGTCAAATCGAGAACACGAAAGTCCTTTAAGATCTTTGCTCAGAATATGCTAAAATTCGCCTTTTCAAATATATTGAGAGGGCAAATTCTAACTTTCTTGGCAAACTGGAAAGGTTCTTAAGCAATCTGATATAAATTCGGTGGCTTAACTATGCGAATGAAATATTTTACAATGTTACAAAATATGCCAATTTCTCAATTTTCGAGGCGTTACGACGGTCCCTACGGACTGGGAAATAATTATGGCCCCTAACGCAGTCAGAAAATTATTTCGAATCAAACCAAATCTAATTTAGTCCTTTCCTAAGTAAAGTCTTTCTGTAGACAGCGTTTCAGGCAAAATTATTTTTGACGCGAAATTGACCGGGTGGAAATAAGAGAGACAGCCTCTTAAAATCTCGGAGACAAAGCCGCTAGTACAACAGACATCCGCGGTCGCGTTTAGTTTTGGCGCGAAACTTGAAATGTCGCGTTGAAATTTTCGCGCCGATTTCAAATTGACCAACTAACATTGTAGATGCAGGTAATTCATTTACAAATGGCTCACAATCCGAGTAACTAACCTATCACGTAAAACTGACAAACAAGGAAAACTCTCAAACAACCAATTCATTCGCAATGAAATGCATAATTTCTTTAATTAGCAAAGTACGTTGGAAGGCCACAGACATGCTTTTGGACAAAGAAATCCATGTTTTGTTACAATCAGTATTTATTTGCCTGGATAGTTAAAAATTTACTATGGTAGAATATAAATATACAAAGGTACAAAATAAATACGAAAGAAGTTGAAGTTCTGGTAGTCGTTTCTTACAAATATCTGAGGTTTAAAAAATTTGCCACTGGAAATAGACTTCGATTTGTGTCCTTCAAGTGTTATACGCGACTAAAACACTGCGATCAATCTGTTGAACAATCAACAAGTGAAATAAGATACAAGGAAAGAAAAAGAAGAAAGAAGAACTAAGCATAATGAAAACTGCTTACAACAAGCTGATGATTCTTGAGAAATCTCTTGCAAACAGTAACTGGTACACTGTGAAATGCAAATTTTAGCGTCGGTAGAAGCACGTACGGTTATGTACCCCATATCCGACAAGAAAATGTTATCCGTTATCAACTTTAAACGCCTAAAGCAATTTATTTTGATGATCTCATTTCCACGCTTCCCAACTTTGACTTTTACCTAGTACACTTCCACACTTAAAAATAATTTCCACATTTGCAATAATAGAATTTCCTTAAACTACCTCGCTAACTAAGATTTGATTGGACACCAAGAATATGGAAAACTAGACTTAACTGAACTTGAATTAATCAGAAAACAAATTCTGGGGTAAATTATACATTAAGTAAGGACTACTGAACTGTGTTTTCTACTCTTTCGTATTGCTGCTTTATTACGATTGGGTGAATATCACGAGAAAAAATATTTCTTGTTGGGAGTCGAGCGATGATTATCCTGTCAGCTGAATCTTGCCATCTTGGATGGGATTTCTAGGCAAAAAAAGAGGAGGAAAAAATAGCTGAGTAAGTAAATTCTTAAGACAAGTAAAATAGTACAAAAGTTGGCTCCAACCTTCAAGTTTGTGGGCAACACCCTTGTAAAGGTAAGGTAAAGTCTGTTTACGAGCCAAGTGGCCCATCAGACCGGCGCTTAACTCCAGTTTCCGTCGCCTGTAGTGACTAGGAGTATTTCCACTCCCCACTGGATGGGATGCTAGTCCATCGTAGGGTTACCCTTCCCCAGCACTAAATGCGCCGGTAGCCATTTAGACACCTGGGCGAGGAGAGACACTCTGAGAGTAAAATGTCTCGCCCAGGAACACAACACAATGTCCCCAAGCCAGGGCTCGAACCCGGACCACTTGAGCCGAGCGCACTAACCATAAGGCCACCGCGCCTCCCACAGCCTAGTATGTAACCCATAAAATAATAACCACGGAGCAGCGTTCTTAAGTGGTACTGTTTGTCGAGGTTTTCAAAGTGATTCGAACTGGTTGCACTAGCCGACAAAAATCGCGTGTGACCACTCAAATGAGAGCTGATAAGAATTATTTTCATGATTAACAGTTCACTCTGCTATATGTAGCTTGCGCATTACGTAGTCTTACCGGCATCCTTTGAGCCAAGCGGGAGAAGAGCGGGCAGGCGAAGGCACAGAGCTCAAAGGAGCAAAGAAAATACATCATTACTTAATCATAACAATAACAATAAAAACTACGGTACTAATAATAGTAATAAAAAAAAAAGATTTCCTTCCACCCTATACCTTCTATAATTTCTGCGTTCCCCGCCCTTCTCAAAAACCACAAGATTGATGCGCAGGAAGCGTACAAATTTGTTTTGAAATTTTAATTGTAAGGATGAAACTCTTAAGTATGACCACTGAAGGGCGAGCAGATTCTAACTCTCGGAATGAACTAAAAACTCCTGTCTGAGACCATGACGGTGAAATCCGAAATATCATCTAACGGCTCACCTTCATTCGGATATCCCGGAAACTCGCCATTCCTCATGTGACTTGCGTACGCGGCATTAAACAGTTGTTGTTGACGTAACATACCACCGAAACCAATCATACGTTCAGGCTGACCTCCAGCCATCATGGCATCCATAGAAGATGCCATATGTTGCCTTCGTTGCTGCTGCTCTAAGAAGTACATCTGTTCTCTCGTAAGAGACTCCCTGGAGGGTAGTCCAGAGGGGTAACGATATTGCATGGAATTCAGGTCCACAAATTGAGAATTTCCTCCCTGTTGCATTTGCGCAGATTCAATGTTTCGTTGATGCGCCATAGCAGATAAGTTAGGTCTGTACTGCAAAGGAGGCAAAACGTCTGACGGGCGCTTGTTTCCGTACATGGCTGCATACGAGCCCATGTCCGCAACACGCGTAGGGTTAAATCTTTCGTGTTTCTCCTCTGGGCTGTGCAGAAAATTACCGGCCATCATATTTTCTCGCATTCTTTCCCGCTTTGCTGCCTCCAAGGCTAAGTACTGACCACGATTCTCCGGACTTCCTTGTGAGGGGTTCATTCCCCTCAGCATCGAAGTAAAAGGGAGCCGATGATTTCTTTCGAGGGCAGGTTTGTCATCTACGCCCCCTGAAGATGGCGGGCCGACATCGTTTAGTTCTTGAAGAAAACTACCCGGTTGAAAATCAGGCCAGCTCTTGAAAGGCGCCGCGGTCTCTGCCCCTTTAAGATCTTTGTTAATATCTGCAGGGGGCATCCGCTGAGGAACCGTCTCTGTTTTACCGTGTTCTAAATGTCCATTTTCAGATACACTTTCCAATGTTTTCTCTCGGGAACGTTTGTCCTTTACATCATTTCCAGGCGGTTCTTTTATCGGGGTAAGCACTGGCATTTTCTTGTACACATCTGCTTCAAGGGCGCTGTTCTGAGGAACTTTCTTTATAACACTCTCCGCAACATTACCTACAACTTTTTTATCGTTAAAATTCATTCCAAATGCACGCTCGTGTGTTTCTAAACGAAGAGGATCTCCCTGTGCTCCTAGCCTATCCAACCCTTCATTTGGAGAAACACCAAAAGACCCTCGCCCAGAGGTAGTATCGAAAGTTGGCCGTCCTCCCATTCCATCATAGGGCCCTTTTCCGGGCACCCTATTCAAATACTCGTTAGATGACAGGACACGGTCCCTTTTCTCTGGTGACTGGATGACTTGGCGGGAAGAACTGGGGTGCATGGTCGGGGCACCCTTTGGTGTACCCTGAGCGGGCCCCTCTCGCATTTTGGCCCCTTCTGTTGGCTGCTGGTCCTCTCGTGAGGCCCCACTTAAGATATGACTGATGGAGAGAGTAGCAGGCACTCGACTTCTTGTCTGCTGCATTCCATCAACGTTTGGCTCTTCCCTACCATTGGCTTGAAGATCCTTCCGTTCTTCCTGTTCACTATATGCTTCCTCACTATCGGTTTCGTTTTCGCTCTGTTTGTTGTTACCTGTAAAATTGGGCGCTTGTGCCTTAGTCAGTTCAGGAGGCTTGTTTGGTATGGCTGAAAACAGATAAAATGGAAAGAACACGTTAGGGCAGCAGAAAAAAAAAAAAAAACAGAATTTGGTGATACATGACAATTTTGCTCCACAACTGGAGGGCTGTATGGATAAGGTTCCTTCCGTCAAGATTAAATTATTTTAATACTTTAAGTACACCCTTTCTTCAAATCTGGATTTAAAGTTCTCTCTTTCTTCTCTACTCATACCTTCTTCTCTAAAGGAACCCTCTCTTGATGGTACCCTCTGTGGGGGAGCCTCTGGAGTGCGTCTCTCTAGGCGCCAAGGCTCCCTTCCCGGTACCATGGGTTGATTGTATGGTCCAGCACCTGGAGCTCTATACGGCATAGCACCATTTCGAGGATAGCCGAGGTAAGCTTGGTTAAAGGACTGTGGTCTGTAGTAAGGTGGCCCTCCATGCGGCTGTTGTTGAGATTGACGGCCTCTCTCTGTGCCCCCCGTTATTGAAGGAGGAGTGGGCTCACCTACAGCAAAGTTAAGATGATTAAATAATCCCTTGTGTAGCCTCTCAAAAATGGCCACCTCTATGAAGTGATTGCATGGGTGGTTGACATATTGGGTGGTGGGCTATGGAAGGGTAACAATGAAAAATGAAAAGGAAAACCCACCTGAAGTTGAGACAGGGACCGTCTGCTGCGGGGACAGCTGCTTGACCTGTTCAGTCTGACTAGGTCTATTAATGTCGTTCTCCCTACGAGACAGCTCCATACTTCCACCTACAGCACCCATTCCATATTGAAATGGCATCCTGCCAGGCATGCGCTGGCGTGGAAAATGTGATGACTGTGGCTGTGGCTGCCCCATCTGCCCCATGGGATTTCCTGGGGGAAATCTAAACCTGTTGTACTGAGGACCTGGTTGTGACATGCCAAATCTGGCAAAAGCTGCTGGGTTAAAAGCATTCTGATAGAACTGCGGGGGGTATAGGGGTCTTCCATCGGGGGAAAAGTGCGGGGGACCAGGAAAGGGCATTCTGGAAGGGTGATGTGATGGCATCATGCCTCCATTTGACATGCTGTTAGGCAACATATGGTTTTGAAACATTGACTGCATTCCAGATGAAGCCATCTGTGGGGGGAAAGGGCGGTCCTCTCCAGAATGAGAACTGCCAAACATCTCAGATCCTGAACTCGACTCTCCCTTCTTTCTCTTATCTTTTTTGCTTTTGCGTGCGAGCTCTTCTTCAAAGTCTTCGTCACTGTTATCATCATCTTCGGGAAAATGTTTCTTTATTTGACGATTGAAAGCTGCCTCAAGGCTGTTTGCCATCTTGGTATACACTAAAATTTCATATGGAAATTGATTAAGAAAAAATGAAACACGTTGTGGACGTCTTCAAAAATTACATTGCAGATAAAACACACAGGCACGCCCTGAAATAACAGGGCGATGCAGGATTCCAAGTTGGAAACTCCCACTTATCCTGCAGATGTTAAATATAGTGTATAACCAGCAATAACACCTGTTTAACAGCATGAAATGTACTTACTACTATCAGGGCCATTGTAGTCCAAACAGTTTTCAAACATCAACTTCATGTCTGCATTGAACTGCAAATTTATACAAAACAGCTTGTTCATCTCCCCATTCTTTCAATATTCATTTCTTTTTTAAAACACATTTTCAATATATACTGAAATAATTGCAACTAAATTAACTCAACTAAATCCTCTCTTAGGGAGAGGAAATATGGGGTTAAGTTTACTGTTGGTTCTTGTCCTTGCTCTAGGGGTTTTTCCTCCCTTCACAAAAACCAACATTCTAAATTCTAATTCGACCTGGAAACACTGGACAAAAAGAGCCACCACATGGAATGTCCACTGCTATATCCCATTTATTTTATTTGAGTACTCACATCATTCAAAGTGGTGTATTTACTGTCATCAAGCTTTTGTTCAATGGTTGACAGATCCATTGGTTCCTACAAGAGTGGTGTGGTTTTTTGCTTTAGAAAGTAAAGGGCTACAAACTCTAACTTGATATAACGACAAGGCTCAACATATCACTATTGGTGTTCTATTCCAGGTACATGTACAACATAAATAGAGAACCTCACAATAAACCCCAACATCAAAAAACAAATAAGCAAAAGGAGACACCAATGGAAAAAGGAAGTTTAAAAAAAATCAGATTTGATTAACCACACTGCTTAGCATACAAAGGGGTAATCAGTCATTACCTTGCACTTCTTTGCAAGGTATTTGTCAAAGAAACTTTTTTAAGAAGAGAAAACAAAAACCTATATTAAATGTAATTTATTTCATCAAAAAATTTTGATCAGATTTTTTTACGAGAGAGATGAACCCTCTAAACTTTTCCTTGCTCCCTGCATATGGCTTTGTAGTTCAGTTGGTACACACCACATTAGAGCCCAACTAGCATTTTGGATGCACAGGTTTGGATCCTGTTGAACCCTGGGGGTGGGGTGTGTAGAAACCTTCAACTATATGTAGGGGATATTGCTTACAAAAAACAATCAATTCTCAGAACTGGAAAACAAATATACCTGTGAGCATCAGTAGTGAGAATTACATTTCAAATCTTAGAGATGCAAAAGCTAATCCTTAAATCTCACCTCGATGATCTCATAGTATTGAGGGGCATAAGATTCCTCCACAGGCTCCAGGAAAGGCCATGCATTATTGTGTTTTTTCAGAGCATCCAAAACTATGGTAAAAACAAATTCAACATTCTATAAATGAATACTAAACAAACAAAGGCTTCAGTTATCATTATGATAGTGAATGATTTGAACCTGTGAGAGGCAGAAACCTTGTTCCCAGGGTCCATTCCCTTCCCCCGTGAAAGGACCCTCGTTACAGCTCAACACGTGTCCCCTTAAAATTGGGAGATGAAAATAAAACATGTGGAAGGAAGGGCTCGTGTAAATTTTTTTGATACTAACTACTTCCTTCTGTTTACAGAATTGAATTGAATTGAACTGATGACAAAACTGGTCTGTATAGGCACATGACCAGTCACAACCAAGGTCCTTTCTCAAGCGAAGAAAGAGAGAGGACCCTTGCAACAAGGTTGGAAAGGTAGCTGTTTGTGTAGTATGATCTAGGTAATGCTCTGTAGAGAACTGTTGTCAGGGACATTGACAAACAACCTCAGTGGACGTCACATCCTTACACTGAGGATCATTGATTTCCATCTAGGTGGGCATCAGGAGAGTTGCCCTTATCAGGACTACCCTCACCTGGACGATCTGACCACAGGTTTATCTGTCTCTGTTAATAGCAGCAAAAAAAAATTTTTTTATGGGCTATTACCTTTGTACATTCCAGTGTACAAGTCTTCATCTCTGTCCTCAAGACCAATATCCTCTCCTGATTGTTTCGATCGTGTACTGGTTCGAGTACTAGTTCCTTCTTCACTGTCTTTGCTCTCTTCTACATTAGCCAAGCTTGATTTCAGTTCTTCTGGAACAAATTCTCCATTAGCCATCAACCACTGCCGTTCCTCTCGCATTCGCGCTCTTCTAGCTCTCTCTAAAAAGAGGATGTAAGGTATACACAGGTTAATTATACACTCGAGCAAATTGGACCACCCAGCTGGAGCTTGTCCTGATTTTCTTGGCATGAAACGACTAAGAGTCTATTCCCCCCTGCAATGAGTTGCCAATTCATGCAAGGTACCCCTCCTCAGTATTTCACTACGCTTCCCTAACAATTTGCCACCACTCGTTTCTACTCCTGAGTATAAGAGTTAAGTTAGGTGACTGAGTCTCCCATAGAGGAATATCAGTTATTCATATTTCTATTTTATGGACAGCAATCAAGATCTGTCTACACCTTGTTCTACACCGTTATTTTTGTATTCCACAGGGAACGAATGATAAGGATTCACCTCAAAATTGATTATCTCCTGGCATGTATTATATCTTATTAACCAAGCGCGAGGGCCGTACTGGGAGAATATCGGCCCGAGGTCTTGACAGTACGGACCGAGTGCAGCGAGGTCCGTACAAAAAAGACCGAGGGCCGATATTCTTTCAGTACGGCCCCGAGCAAGCTTGGTTAATAAGAGATTTATTATACGACTGAAGTTCAAAGGGACACAAGTGCGGTATCATCCGGGACCATTCGGGACAGTGCCCGGTCCAATACTTAGAGAATATCGGACCGGCAATAGAGCATTTTGATTGGTTGATTTTGGTTATTGGCCCTCTGACTACCCGAGTCGTGTAATAAAACTTAATAAAATGATAATTCCAGTAAACTTGCCAAGATCTCACCCCTTCTCTCTTACTTGCTCTTATCATAAGTTATTATTATTCCATTCAAGCAATTGTGATGATGCTTTATTTTGGACTTTTTTCACTTTGCCCAACTTTTTCCCAGTCTTGAAACTCATTCCTTTTTGCAAGGATTTCTGAGTCTATACAAACAATCCACATAAGCAAACCAGTTTCACCAAAATTTCACAAATCCTTTATGCATGACATTGCACACTCACCACAACTGAAAAAAATTATTTCCATTACAAGGCTCAAAATATTATCCACTCAAAAAACAATATCTAGTCCATCATAGGTTTTGTTAAGTCATGATTGGCTAGACATTTTGAACAATTCTTTACACATGTTAACAAGAATTTAATTACGAGGCATGTTCAGGATTTAAATACAGCTGTATTACTTTGACTGCATCGAGTCCAAGGCTGCATTGTATAACAAAAATGCGGTAAAGAAAGAGGCATTTAATGGAATGGATATTTCTCTGGCCAAAAATGGTCGCGTCTGAGCAAAATAGGTTTGACTGTGCTTTTCCTTACCTTGCTGTCTTTTCTCTGCTTGCTGTTGCTTTTCACGTTGCCTTTCCTCTTCCTCCTTTTTCCTCTCTTCAGCTGCTCTTTCCCTTTCTCGTTGTCTTTCATTTTCTTCCTGTATTTCCTCCTCCTCTCTGAAATGTGCTTTAGAAGCTATTCGGTCAGATGCCCGTCGAGGTGCCATTTCCATTAGCAGCTTTTTCCTCATAGCTTTATCCTGTGTCAAAATGTCAAGATTTTAAAATAATATATCAATGTTCTGAGCTACTTCTTTAGGTGTCCACCACTTCCTTTATTCTCATGACCTAAGTATTGAGTAATCTCATCACCTGTTTACTGGATAATATATAGATGTTTTAAGGAGAAGTTACATGTTAATCACTTCTGGAAGTTAAAGGGTTCAATGCTTACAAATATGCCTTGTACCTTTGCTTCTATCATTTTGCCTATTTCAGGAACAAAGTCCACACTAAGTGTCTCATAAAGCATCTTCTCGTCTTTGTTTTTGCTTTTCTTAAATGACTCGGCCAGCTGCTGCCATTCATCCTCTGTGGAACACACAACAGTCCATGAAGGTTGAGGCTTCTTTTCATTGTCTTCCTTCCCCTCTGAATCTACCTCCTGCTCTTCATCATCATCGTCATCATCAGCGTAATCACTACTGGGCATATCACTGCTTGGACTAGTAGGACAAGTAGCAAAATCAGTATTGCAAGCTGCACATTCATGCAGGTCTTAAAGTACACAGTACCCATTGAAAACATAGGACTAATTTTTTTAACCCTTATAATCCTATGACCAAGAGAGATTTTCTCCTTACAATATCAACACAATATCAAGCAGACAAGCAATGAGAATAAGGAAAAATATAAATTAGGGGATTATTAGTTGATCAAATACCAAATTATCTGAAGTAACATCATAAGAATTGTATAGCAGATGGTAAGAGAATTATTAATGAAGTCTTAAGAGTGAAAGGGTTAGCCAAAATAATCCTTGATTTTCAAAACTTGATTTACATGAAGGCAAGCTTTGAGCTTCAAAAATCAAGTAATTAAAAGTGAATTAACAATTGAGGCTACATTTAGTGAAGGAAACTGATATAAAAAAATTGAACAAATAAGTTCTTGGGCCCCTTGATCAAGTGCCCCATACAAATAACAGCCCACCATCATATTGCTAAAAGTTAAAAAAGCACCCTAGCCACTAATTAGTGGATTTGAAGTGGATAATTGTCCAGATTTGCAAAATTTCATGTTAAAAACCCACACCCCTTTTCATGTCACAACAGTTGGAGTCATTTTCAATTACTACAGCAGAACACTGCTACATTCTTGAGTTAAATTTCAACAAAATAGTTTCCTAACGATGGCAAATGCTAGAGAAGAAAGAATAAATCAAAAAGAAAAAGAGGAATAAAAATGGCACCAAAAACAGCTAGAATGATTCTGTACAGAGAAGATTCACAGGGATTGCAAACAAATGTTTCAAACAACTCAAGATGTATAGAGCATGACATACAATGTAGTTCCATTGTCATCTTTACCTTGATTCAGATTCTGCCTCTGAGTCAGATGATGATCCTTTCACTTTCTTCTTCTTCTTCACTTTTCCCTTCTTCTTCCTGTTTTTCCCCTCCATCTTTTTCTTTTTCTTGGACTTCTTGTTTACTTTGTTATCAGACTGTTCAGACTTTTGTTCACGATATAATCTAGTGCCGTAAAAGTACCAGTATGTTCTGGCCTCAGCATCAAACCCCAGTGGTTCAACTCGCAAGCTGTCTGCATCTAAGCCCTGAAAAATAATGCGCAGTGCTAACACCAAAGAACACACATTCACAACACTTTACAAGAATGAACTATTGAACTGCCAGTCTGAGAGCTGTCATCCCACCCAATGACAAGTAGGGGATAGGTAGGAGGAATGGGTAAGACTGAGTGAAACCCAGTGAATGCAGGGGTTTCATTAAGGGCCAGGCACCGGGCAAATTGACCGGTTGTGAAGACGGTTTTGCCCACCTGATTTGACGGTCTGGAGGAAAGTTTGTCTTATTAAGAAGTTCAGTTCAAAGAGTTTTGCCCGCCTGTGAAAACCAGTTGCCCTCCTGCAGAAAACATTAATAAAACCCCTGTGAATGAAGAGGGATCATGCAAGTTTCTAAAGAGTGTGTGGTGCTGTGTGTGAAGGGAGTTTTACCAGATAATTCATTTTACCAAGTGAGTTTATTGAGTCAATTGGTCACTATAGACAGGGCTTGACACTAACTTTTCAACTTACTAGCCAAGTGCCCAGTGAAAACTTAGATGTTACAACAATTTCAGTTTGTTTACTAGCCAAACTGGTTGGTGGAAATTGAAAACCACTGGCCAAAACTGAATTTCTATGAGCCTGTGCCTAGTTGGCTACTGTCAGTGTCCAGCCCTGTTATAGAGGTTCTAAAACTGACATTTCAAGCTCTGACAAAGGGCCATTGCTAAAAAAAGATCAGCTTTAAAACCTCTCTATGGTGGCCAATTCACAGTATCACTTCAGTTGTTAAATTAATTATCTTGAAATTGCACCTGCAAGAGAATTAAATAGGCATTTACATAATTGTATCACTCTTCAGAGTGGATCATGTACAGCCATAAGATTCCCAACAACTCAAAGAAGCTGAGTGTAAACCGTATGCCCTTAACTTCCTGCAGTTTATGCAATTTTGATTCCTGGGAATTGACTTCACTTCAGTATTAAGCAAAACTGTATCATCCCACTGCATTTCTACATGGACATACTGTAGATGAACACCTTTGATACTACAACACTGAACCAACTTTTCTCTACCAAGCAGCATATCTGCAAAATTTAATGAGGTCCCTAAAAATCACATGAAAGTGAGGGCTCTGAATGTTGCCAATTTTTGGACAGAAATGTAAAATATCCTGGAGGATGAAAGCCTGCATGGCACCAGTAAAGTGACTCTTGTAAAGAAACCCGAAATTCCTGTGCCTCTATTATTCAAGTATCCTAAGTTGTTTCAAGTGGATTTAAAAAGGAACAAGAAAAACTCAGTTCAACAAAGTTCAATGACTTGATCAAAGAAAGATTGCCTGAGTGTTTGAAGTGAATTCCTTCACCACAAAAGATAGGGTGATAAATACAAAACCATTTTGTCTCTTCTGAAATACCAATATTTTATCACAATATCATCTAACAAGTAGCCAATCTATCTAACCTTTGATAAGTGTTTAGATAGTTGAAATCTAAGAAGGAAATGATAAATCTGCAATAGGATAATTACACAAGCAAAGTCATGGAGAGAATGACTCTGGCATCACAATAGCATTTGAAACCATATCCAAAACAAATGCACATCAAACACATGGAATTTAAACAAGAAAACTCAAAGCTTGTGGTCAGTGTACGGCTAAGTCTTGATTTTGTACACAATGGATTACCCAAAAGCCAATACTTTATATTATTTTCTCATCACTGGGGATAGCTAGTGTTAAAAGTACACTTTATGTAAGTGTTTTCATGATGCATTTAACTAACAGACTTGATATATAATCCCAACCTATTCCTTAAGTGTCACATAGACAGCTAATAAGTCAAAACCTTTATATTCATCTGCTTTAATTAGAGACTTGTAAACCCAAAAGCATCCTTAAGCCATGCCTACATGTTCAGCTGTATGGCAAAGACACAGCTGAACCACATTGAGGTCCACATGCTTTTGCTGAACTAAAGGCATATTAATTTTATCATTTGTTTTGCTAAATGGACAAGCACCATTAATTTTCCTTTTTCTCTTCATTCTTATACAGCAATTTTGCCAGTTTCTCATTAACATGTAGAATATAGGAAGGTGCAACATGAAAAGGTGCCTATTTTCATACAGCTGGCAAATTAAATCATATGGTGGCCTTAAAAGCAGTGGCCCTTTAACATAGCCAGGCAAACAACGACAGTATTTTGGCCAAAATGAATGGGGGGTTGAAATGATCCACACCACCATTATTAAACAATGAAGAGTGCTTAAAAACTGTAAAACGAAACTTAAGCAGTTTCATTGGCAAGGTAAGGTGCCATTTTGCAGGAGGACAAGAATGCATTAAGCCAAATATGGACCTCTTCTTAGATTCCATCCATGCCAACCTTATCACGTAGCAATTGAATATTTCAACACTCTCCAGGTTCAGCTAGAATTTTGACACTACTTTACCAATCAAAAATCCATTATTTGATTTTGAGACTTTGATTTTGAAAATCATGGCCAAAAGTCATAAAAAGGTGTCCTTTTGGCACAAAACTTTACGATCTGAACATACACAAAACTTGTAGCTATTATATCTAAAATCTAAAACTTATCTTTCTGATGCCATTATAATTATTGTAATTCATTTGTAACACTTGGATAATCATTGCAATTGAGGTAAATGTGAAAGCAAGTGCAAAAGGCCAGAGGGAAAAATTGGAATACTGGTCGGAGAAATGTTTACTTGGATTTGAAAGAATATTTCTTACCTTCAGTAACTCAGGAACATCTTCAACATCCAGTCTGAAGTCACAAAGGTTGTGTAGAATCTCGACTTTTTCCCTCGTTGAGAGTTTGCTATGGACCAAATAAGTCAATATTATGTTCAGGGACAATATAAAGAGATAAAATTACTGGTGCAAGAATTTTAATGACGACCAAATATCACGAGTTTGAACATCGAAGAAAAAAAAAAAACTGAAGGTCACCCGTCAATAATTAAATCAGTAAACATTTTTTCTCCCACAACAATGGGCCATCCATCATTTTCGTCAGCAGCAAATCTAATCCTTTAGACACTGGAGAGCATTTTAAGAGTACTCAAGATTTACAGAGAGATAATTGTCTCTTGAACAACCAAGAGTGGAAGTGTTCAAGGCAAAATACAGTTTTTTGATATAAATTGATGAATTCCCAGTGAACAATTGTATAACAAAAGTATCAAGATGTAAATAGAGCTGATAGACTGAGCAGAGTGGGCCAGAATAAAAATATTATTATTCAATGGCCATACACGCTGTCAAACCCAAGTATTTACTGTTAGTAAGGTTAAATTTCTTGACACTGAGACATGATAAACATTTCAAAATTAAGGAATTACAATTTAGATGAAGATTTATCAGAATTCACAATTGCAGAGCATCACTATTGTACATTACAGATCAAAGAAGGAACTTTTTAGCAGAACGCGAAATCACAAATTACTGCAAAACAACACGTGTTTTCATCTTTCACGGGAACCATATTATGACAAAAAAAACAATGCCTTGTTGCTAAAAACGTCACTGGGTTGCCCTACCATAAGCAACATCCTCTTTACGTTTACCACTTTAATGAAACAAAGAGAATAATTTGCGCTTCAACCAGTGTTAACAAAAAGATGGCTTCAAACAAGCTGGGAATTAGAGAAAACACATCAACCTCTACAAATATACTCAAGGCAATTTGTGTCTCATTAAAACAGCAGCTTAAGTTGCAAATTGCTTTAAAGAAAGAGTTTACCCTCATCTTTGAAACTTTTAATCTTAATTTGATACTAAAATTGAGAACAACTGAGATTCTGGGCCATTTCCAACTGTTGGAAACTAAAGCGTACTTCTGGTACAACAAACGCGTTTATTCATATTTCGCTGCCAAAAACAATACTGCGTTGTCGACCACATGGAGAAAGGCAAATCATCAAAGGCACAAAATAGCAGTCCGGATTACCTGTATTCTCTATCCGCCAGAGGGTTCTTCTTTCCTAATTCATCTTCCCAACGTATTTTCAATACTTGTGACAGATATGGCTCGAAATTCTCGGCGCTAAAAGGTAACATGGAAACTGTCACGAGACGCTAAACTAAATAAGGAAGCAATTTGGCTAAACTCTCAAGACATTTTCCCACTCGCAAAAAATAGTTAGGGAACTAATCTCACCACCAAAACAAATTCCATATTCCCTGTTACAAATCTCTAAATACAACTCGAAATTCGAAAGTAAACCGAATAACGAATACCAAGATATAAATTTTCAATAGGATCGCTCTATAAATATTTCACGTGTCAGAATATCAAATCGCACGTTCGTCCCTCCATTTTTAATAGCCGACTAAAAAGATTTAACCGCCTTGGGCTCGAATCGAATTCCATGAAATCAAAGATTCTCCCTTAGGATTTTCTACTATTATTAAAAAAATATCAAAAGCGGGTATTTTCGTTTCACAAAGGAGAAAGCAACCGAGCCCTTGTGGTTCAACATCGACAACTAATACTTAATCAAGATGAGAAAGGCTATAGATATTTGTTGCAAATCGATTCCTGTCGTGAACACGATGAGAGAAAAAAAAATGGTTTCAAACAAATCATCAAGGCTTAACAACGCTAAATGGATTTCTCAAAGTGTTCGGAAGAGATGATAAACCTGCTGGCAAACAGATCTGCTATCACTCCTGAATAAAACCGTGCAAGCATGAATAAAATACTAGAATTACTCGTTTGACAATTTAGGCGAACGGAACACATCTAAAGCTGTTTCTTGCGTCTAGAAAGTTTCTTCGTCGAAGACTTCATTCATAACGTAGTAATAACATCGTGGGAGCAATATTTACACAGTTCCCGATTCCAGATAATTTCATTTTTGAAAACATGGCTTACATGATTAGACAATGAAGAAAATTACCATGAGGCGGTCGGAGCTAGAATGGATTAGGAACATTCACGTTTGCACACGAAATCAACTAAAAGCTCGTATTTTTAGTAAATACGTGTAATCAGACAAACAAAATCAATCAATGCGTTGTTAAGACATTTTCAAAGAAATACTCAAAGGATAAGCTAAGGATGAAGTAGAAAACAATACAGTAAAAACTGAAACTGTCTTACGTTATATCCTTTATTCCATACAATCCCCTTAACAATCGGGCATGAAGATCGGCCAAAAAACGGTTGTTTCCCTCTTCATTAGAGCCATCAATGACAAGTGCATCTTCTAAATCCTGAGGGAAGTAAACCAACGTCTTTTTAAGCTCAAAGGTGACAGGGCAAAAACGATATATGTCCGTCTAAGCTCTCAACTTTGCTACCAGTTTTTAGCTGGCACCGTAAAATTCAAATTTTTAAAATAAACAATGCACGGAATAGTTTGGGCGAAGAAAGGTCAAAGGCTTAAGAATAAACGAGCCTAATAGTCAAAATTTCAAAATTATACTATCAGTAAACGATCGGGAAAAAAAACGCGGTCCTCAATTCAAAAAGATAATTGCAGATTTTCGTACGTACCTCGATTTCGAAGTCAGTCAATCCGAATGCGGCGCGGAACAACGAACAGAAATGTGCTATCGATGGTACCTCCCACCAATTTCGGATCTCTGCAAGCCAGAAAAATACGATAAGCGCAATGTTTCACCTTTCCAAAGACGTCTCAAACAATCGTCAAAGTTGCACAGAAAACATATTCACAAGGCCGTTCAACAGTACCTTCCATGTCAGGCAAAACAGATGGCCAACTGAGTACAATGACGACACAAGACGAAGCCGGGAACATCCGGGCTTTTCCCTTAGAACCACGCCCACAGAGGTCTGGGGCGAGAAAAGAAACGTGACTTTTGACTGACTATCCCAAAGACATGACAATGAATTATTTCACAATGGATGACATCATAAAAATCACGGAAAGCCATTTAATAACACTTTCCACATTTGGAAAGGAGATGGAAAAACTGATCGAATAATCTCGAGCAGAAATTTCTACCAAATTACAACGATACTCTAAAGCGCCTAGTTGAACCACATACGCGACCCATTGGCATTTGAGGGAGGCACTCAGTTCTTGCCAAGCTTAGAATCGAAGAACCGTCAACAACCCGTGCGTCGTACTCGCTCCAAGAGGGCAGTAGTAGATCGCGTGCATGTAAACCACATCGCGAGTAGTTCAGTTAAACACAGGACAACTTGGTTTTACTAGCTGCGTTGGTCACCGTAGAGATTTTAAAACTGACGTTCTGGGCGGCATCTTCGTTAAATTCAGCTTCAGAATCTCTTTAAGGTGACCAATTTACATCATCAACCCATTTGATAATTATAAAACCAAATTATCTTGCCGGATACCCCCACCAACGCGGCATCACATTTTCTTTAGAATTCTACCCCCTTTTAATCATTGATCATCAACACAATTTGCCAGTTCTCACGTTAATTGCATATGGCCCGAGACTACTCCGTAATCCAAGTTAACTCTTTAACCCCTAACAGTGAATAGAATTTAATTTCGCGTGCAGAATCACGCATTAAGATCATAAAGATAAAGAAATCTTTACAAATATTCATCAACTGTACGTACCATAGGATTGTGTAAAGAACAGTATGGAGAATACGCAAGCCGGAGTGTGAACGATTAGGCGGGGTCATCGCAGGCACATCCTTCATCAAATTCAAGAGATCGGTATGGTATCGACCTGCGAAAAGAGTCCTCTAACAAAACATTTGGTCTTTCTTGCGAATTTATTTTCCAGTCGCAATGCAAAACCTATGACTGGTTCGCAAATGCCTTAAGATACGCAGATGGAAGCCGATTGTAAGATCTTAAATCTTTGCACTTATATTTATTACAATAATTTCTTAGTTTCTTGTTCTTAATCGTCAAGAAGCCGTTGATAACAGTACTTTTGTATTGAAGGGTTATCCTGGCTAAACATGTATTTCGATTATTATCATTATTATCACTTGATCTTTCCCCATACCTTGTTAATGATTAAAAAAGGGCTTGCAAAGGAGGACGGGATACCACGCTTTGCAGTCGACAGGTGGTCCCTACTCGCAAAACACAGGCAGAGGGAATTCAGGTCAGTTCATATTGATCTTCATGTTTGAGACCGTGATTGCATTATTCAACTGCGATCTAATCGTAATTACGTCCACAAACTTCGTAGCTCTATTGATGAAAATAACTTAACATGACAGCTCGAACAGAAATGTAAAACAACAACTTAAAAGCAGTTTAATCAAACGCTTTCTCAGTATTTTAATTTCAGTCACACATTACAGCCTATGTAGCGATCACAGGATAAATAGAGCACATCTACTGATCTTCAAATTTATTTTTAATAGGTATAGATACAGAGAAAATTTCGTCTTTGACAGAGTACTATTGAATTTGGTCTCCATACAAGGTTACTTGAAACTTCAATTTTACATGCTAAACAGGAAAAAAATCTTTTTCACACTCCCTCTCGTCCATAAAAGCAATTTTTCAAATAAGTGTCGAGAGTAATCCGGTGTTGCATTGGTTTTGAATTTCTTCACCCTGTCATTGGTCAAAAAAAAAACAAAACAAAAAACAAACAAAAAAAAAAACTCACGACCAATTTTCCACCAATCAAATGCCACTTGGTCACCTGCGTTTTCCCGCCTTGGAGGCGTCTTCACTTTGAGTTCTCACTGGCTCCTCGTGATATATTCCTTTGTTCTGATTGAGTGGATTTCAGGACATTCGATCGAAAAATGCCTTATGTACGTATGTTCTACCATTCCCCTGAGGCTCGATTGAGATCAAGCACAGTTTTTTGTTAATAGGATAAGAACGATGGTAAGTTTTGCGCTCGGTAAAAAAATAGAGAAAGATGTTTTTAGTCTTATCAGGAGCGCACGACAAAGAAAATATTCTGAGTCTCCACGAGGAATCGAACCTCAGACCTTCGGATTCCGCGCTCCGATGCACAGTTTTGTTAGCAAATTTATGCACAATAGCGGAGCCTCGATTACAGACGTGATACTTAAGGTGACTTGAGAAACCATTCGCAAGACTTCTATCTCCGGTACAACTCGGACTGCGTCCGAATATTGAAAAAGAAAAAAAAAATAAGCTCCACACAAAAATTGAGTCAGTTAATATTAATCAATTATTAGTGTTTGACGATTGAATGTAAAAGCATTACACAAAAGAGAAGGTAATTCTTCCCGGTCTTCATGTACAAGAAGGTCCACATCACAGTTTGGAAGAGAAACTTTTCTTCTTTCGCCATCGCATTTCGCGTGTTAAACGAACAAGACCTGAGGGTGTATCTTCCAAATATCGTAGGTCGTCTGTGGAATGATTATCTAATACACATGAACCATTCCATACAAAAACCTTGGAAAAGTTAAAGAAATAAAAAGAGAGTTCCTCAAATAAAGCAATGATCATTGCACGTGAGCCGCAATCTTAGCAACTGCAGTAAAGGAGCCTGAAAAAGATTCAGGCTGCGATGGAATTCGAATCCGTTCTCCCCAGATACTAGTTACGCGCCATTATCAACTGAACTACGAATACACACGTTGGGAGCGAGGCAAATTATCAGAGGGTTCTTCTTTCGCGTGGAAGAATCTGATACAAGTTGTAATGAAAAAACCAGTGACATGCCCCAGACTAAATAAAAACCGCAAAATTAAATAAGCCACCACAAAAATGATGAAAAGTTCCCCCAAATAGCTACCGCCTGTTGCTCATTTATCGTTTGTCAGTTTGCTGTTTGCCATCCGAGTTTCAACCCGACAGGGAAACTTTCGAACAACAGTCGGCCGACAGTCGTTGTGTCGGTAATAAGTCGGTTACACATCGGGAATACATCGGTTACATGTCGGTAATACGTCGGTTGCATGTTAGTGATACGTCGGTTACACGTCGTTAAAACCCCCATTCTCCCTCCCACGACAGTAGTGGTAAATTTGACTCGTCCACAGAAAAAGAAAAACCTAAAGTTGTGACGACGTGAAAACCATGACCCTCACAAAGCCGCGACCACAATTTTTTTTTTTTTTTTTGCAGGAAATGACAAAAATACCACACATCAAAAGCTAGAGGCTAAAACGATAAGTACATAAGAAACTATGAACTGTAAACGTAAAAATGTCTCTGATACTTTAAAAAAACGGGGCATTTTCTACATTTATGATCTACGAAAGAGAACCCGTCGCTAGCGATATATTAATAAAGGGGGTAAGTTTCTAAAGGAACTATGGTGCTGCGTCGGTGAGGGTAACAAGGTTAGTTGGTTATATCAGCTAAGCCAATCTACAGTTTCAACTTAGTATAACCAAATTAGCGATATATTAAAATTAGGCTACTGAATCCGAAAGTAAAGACCGGATGTCTGCTACTTTCGGAATTTCACAGTGCTCAACATTGATTCACGTCCCGTGTTAAAGTTAGAAATTCTTCTGGTTGCGAGGTTTTCCTCTTCCGGGATATGTGAAACAAATTCACATCTGCTGACGAAATGGCGCTATAAAAAGAAATTTTTTTTATAAGGCGAACAAAGGATACGTCCAAAACAGTAAGTACGTCTAAAATGCGGACAAAATAAGAGACAACAGTTAAGGAGTTCACTTGATAAGCGCGTATTTACATGTTACCATTACTGCACACTTTGGTAAAGGTCACTTGAGAAGCTAACCCTAACATACAAAAATACCACAGTGTTAAATAGCTGAAATTACTGGCAACTGTAATCCATTTTAAATCGCCTTTGACATAACCTGTCTCAAAATGGAAGAAATCGTAAATCTTTGGCATTTTGAAAAATTGGGTGTTGTTATAGCGGGTCATTAATAAAACAAATACTTTTAAGATAACAACAGTCACTCGGCTTAAAGAACATAATTTTCATTGTCTGATTGGTCAATTCAGTTTCCACGCGGATGTTTTATCACGTTAGAGGGCCCGCATGTTACTAGTTACGTCATAGAAGCCTTCGGCTCGTGATTTCTAAGTTTTCCTTGTGTTCGCCTAACATCCCGCGTGGCTTATCATGTTATGGAACCCGGAAAATGTGTTCTACTGTTTAAATAGCGTAGCACATTGGATGTGGCTTGATCAGTTTACTTCAAATCGACAATGATTGCCAAAGCCAGCTGCCTAGCCTGCGAGCAGGCCCACATACTACGAGAGATTTTGCACCGTGTTAACGAAACGTGAACGGCAGACTGACCACGTGACTTTGTTTTCCCCCCATTTTTTCACGTTCGCCGGTTGTGCTTTGCCGATTCTACGTGAAAGTACCTGTCTCGCGTTTGCCATGTACATAAGATTTTCTTCACTTTTTCTCACAGAGTAGAAGTTAAATGCCGGACAAAGGGGCGCAAAAACCTATTCTTTCGAAGTCATACAGGGGCACCTTCAAATTCACCGCTGATGTGAGTTCACGCGAAGTTAAAGCAGCTGGGTTCACAAAAATTTTACTTGAAACGTGAAAGGGTAAGCTGACGTTTGCCGTTTCACGTAAACGTGGTGCTAAATCTCTCTATTATTAGCCCCACAGGACGCGCACTCCTCAGTCCGTGGAAAAATATAAGACGAGGTCGAGGGTCTGGCAGTAACAATGAGTACCAGAACCCTCGCTGAGCTTCTACCAGCTTAACCCTCTAAGTCACAGGAGTGATTAACGTGTAACTTCTCCCTAAACATCCATACATTATCGAGGAAACAAGTAATGAGAATACTCAAACTTATCAGGTAGAAGTTGTTATCTTGATCTAACACCAAATTCTTGTAACTAATTTACAAGGAAATGTGTAGCAGCTAGAGGGGAGAATTAACAATCAGATCTTGGGAGTTAAAGGGTTAAGTTGCTCAAGGCCTTATACCGGTACTTTCCTGCCCGCAAAGAAAAGCTTGTGCTAAAGGGTTAATAACGAGGGCCTTCTCACAGGCTAACCTTGGCCTCTATTACAGTATCATTTATTTCGCCGTCGCTAATGGGGAATGGCCGGGTGACTGCTCAATACAACTTGACCGCTTAACACTGGTTCTACAGAATAATGGTGTTTGGAAAAATGATAAAAATCACAATTTAATGCCAAGATTGAACAGTTAATGTACAAAAACTCACTCAAAAATACTACTAACATTGATTTCAGGAGAGGAAAATTAACTAAATTTTAGTGGAAAGATTATTCTTAGATTCATTTGAGTGGTCTCACTTTAACTGACAGATCAAAACAGGTGGAAGACAGTACTAACAGGACATCGAGACTCAGTAAAGCGTGATTGCCACCGCTCAATAGAGGTGGCCACCTAATAGAGGTAAAGATTACATTAATTAAGGGGTAACCAGGCCTCGACACTAACGGTAGCCCATTAGCCACAGACTAGTAGAAATTCAGTTTTGGCTAGTGGTTTTCAATTTTCACTAGCCAGTTTGGTTAGTAAATAACCTAAAATTGTCATAAAATCAAAGATGTCGCTAGCCACCTGGCTAGTAAGGTGAAAAGTTAGTGTCGAGCCCTTGTAACAATTTCGGGACCTTGACAAATGACTACTTATTACAAGGTGGCCAACTTAATCAGTGCTTTCAATAAGACCTGGCACCCGCCGGAGCTCCGGCGGCTATTCTGTTGCAAGTCGCCGGGTATATTTCACCGCGCTCAAGTCGCAGTCGCCACGCTAAGTCGCAATCAAGTCGCTCTCTGGCGGATGTTGTACCGAGGTAGCCACCTATTTCAAATCTTAATGAAAGCACTGCTTACTACAATGCTGCTTAAATACAGGTTTGACTGTATATGACATTTCAAGGAGAAATATGTTCCAGAAATCATGATCTTTATCTGATGTGATAATTTTTTTTTGCATATTTATCATCAGGCATAAACAAAACTAAGGCATCCCCTGCAACACTATGTAACTCCCATTATTTACTTTAAATTATAATAATAATAATGGTCAAAAACCTTTTAAAACAAGGTTTAAAAAGGATACAAATACTCCTCCAAAGATTCCAGAGGTGCTCAGATCCCACCAAGAAATGAAAAATTTTCTCCACTGTGTACCAGCCTTAAGACAGATTAGAATCTAATGAAAAGAGAAAAGAAAAAAAAACATCTTAAAATTGTTGTTCTTTTTCTTTGGATTGTCTGTTGTCCCTTGTTGACAAGTAGAAAGGGGGGGGGAGGGGAGATACAGTCTGTACTAGAGCCAAGTAGCCCACCCAGCCAGAGCACACCCCAGTTTCCATGGCATAAAGCAACTAGGAGTACCACTACTACCCCCTGGATGGAATGAAAGTCCACCACAGGGTTACCCCCCCAGCATTTCATCAGGCTTCCCAGAAGATTTGCCAGTGCCCATTCATATTCCTGGGCTGAGAGATGCACAATGAGAGAAAAGTGTTTTCCCCACGAACACAACATAATGAACCCACCAGGTTTAAACCCCAGCCTCTCAACTTGCAGTCCAGCGCACAGACTTTTACTCATGAGGCGTGAGTTGTCCACTGGTCAGTGCACTGGACTCAGGGTCAGATGGCACAGGTTCAAGTCCTGGCTGGGGCTTGACACTGTGTTCTTAAGCAATACGCTTCACTTACAATGCTTTGTCTTCTCGGATAGGACGCAAAGCCGGAGGTCCCATCTCCTGCATCTATCAATTAGTTAATTTTGGCAAGGGACATTAAAGAACCCATATCACAAGATTACTGTGAGGTGGTCTGGCCTGGTTACTGGGAATGGGGGGGAGGGGGCATCTGTGAAATTTCTTCTTTATTTATTGTAAACTGCTGCCAGCAGTCTGGAAAAGTCCCCCGCACAGTGTTTTAAAGCACATTGGAGCATTCCATGGAAATACGCTATAGAAATTGATATTATTATTATTATTATTATTATTGTTATTAGGTCACTGCATCTCTCACCCATACACAAGTATAGTACAGGGCTCAACACTAATGGTAGTCCACTAGCCACAGACCAGTAGATATTCAGTTTTGGCTTGTGGTTGTAGTGTCTGGCCCTGATGGTAACTTATTAGTCTCACATGCAGAAGAGAACAATAAGTGCATTTTCATAAACACATTGAGACTAAATTGTGGTGTAGAATGGAAAACAATCATCAGAAATGCGAATTTAACAACTTTTTGTATACTTATGGAGATGAGATATCACATAAGGTAGCTGCAAGATGCTATGGCTACTAAACAAAGAAGGCATGCCCTGTTTTTACTTGAAAACATAAGTCCTAGGAGAAGATAAAAAACTACTATTGAAAATTTTACTACGAATACAGTGCCAGTTCCACTACAGAGCAATGACCTAGCTAAATTTGAATAAAACTCAGGAGTTTGTCAATCAAATGTTCTGACTGAAAAATAACTTACAGACATAAAGAGGGAGGCTATAAAATAAAAGATGAAGCCTTTCAGAGCTGTCAGACCAAGAATGCCAGCAGATATGCCCGCCATGGATGCTAACGATGTCCGGCTAAAAAATGAGAACTGAATATAAACCACAGGGATACCATTTATATTTATACATGATGTTTACATCAGGAAAACAACAAATCAACAACAACAAAATAATACCAACAACAGTCACTAATTGATATTAGAGAGAACACTTCTGTTTAGCCTCAAGCAAGTCATAGATGACAACCATGCCTTTTAGATCACATTTCAAAACTTTTGAGTTATTCTTTGCTGAGATTTCTGTTTGAAAGATTATTAAGGACAAAAAAAGCCAAGAATTATTTTCATTTTCATCATAAGTTGCAGTTTGACATATGATCGATTCAAATTCATACTAAAATATATAATTGATAGAAAATACCAAGAACCAAAAACAGAGGAATATATTACAAAGATAACAAAAAGAAACCATGAAATACTTATTTCCATCTGCACCGCGCGAAATCTTACCAGAAATCAATGATGCTGTTGTTAGCCATGATGGAGAAAGGACTAAAGGCTTCATCCTTCCCTGAAAACAACGGTGAGAAAAAGGAAAAGAAACCTTACTTTCTCGATATTTATTCTTAAAATTGCGACTTGAACTGCATACAACAAGTGGGAGAGATCATAGCTTGAGGGGCATTCGCCAATGTTAGCGAGCCAGATTAAATTGGAATCTCTGTATGAGTCAGTTAAACCTGAAACTAAGTTTTTCATGAGTTAAATGCTACCTGACAAACATTATACACCCAATTAAATGAAGAACAACTCGACTCTTACTACCGTGGACATGTTGCTCTCCTTCCGCCATCTTGAATTTAAGATCTTCCAAGCGGTTGCGTCTGTGGGCTCAAAGATACAGTATGTAGTCACCAGTCTCGCTCCCACGTTCAAAAACTTTCACTAATCCAAACACTGGAAGCTAATTGATCGGGGTCACTTTCAGCTGAACTAAAGGAATCCTTAACCATGGTCTCCAGCTGTACGATCTGATTTGAATGTTGAATATATCTAGGCTTCCTTATGAACGATCTCTTGGGTTTCACCGTTGCAGGACGTGAATTTGCGATTTGAACGTTAAGACAAGATGGTCGATGTTTTACTTTGCTCGACGTACGAGGACCAAAAGCGCGACTTTGTGTTTGATTTTAAAGACAGTGGGAAGTTACAGAGACTCACTGTACCGATACCAATACCACTGAAGGTTGATGCAAAAGAATTTGTTCAAAGACTGATAACGTTTCACAATTTACCATGCTATCTTGAACCAGGTACTGTTAATGAAAAGG